TCTATCTATCTATCTATCTATCTATCTATCTATCTATGGTGGAATTTTTGCATTCATAAATAATGAAGTCATGTCATGTGCAGGAAAATTGAGTAGCCACAGATAATCACATTGAGCAAATTAAGTCAGCTTCAGAAAGAAGTTTTCTACCATTTGTGGGTCCTAGATTTCATACAGACACCTAAAATCCTGTATGCATATATAACAAGAAAGTAGATGTGACTGTGTCACGGGACAAAGGACTAAATGGAGGGGAAGGGACAAGTCACAAGAGGGTAGGGAGCCGAGGAGGAGAATGCTCCCCATATAACATGTACATTCATCAATTTAAAAAACTGAATTAATTTAGGAAACTTTGAAATCTTTTAAAAGTTAAAAAAGATGGCAGGTCCCTAGGAGACGGGATTAAGACACGGCGCTCTGGATGCCATACCGAACCCCAAGTTCAGGGCTGTCTCCCCACCCCTCAGAAGCCCAGGTCTGCCTGACTCTAGACTTTCTTTTCAGTCATTGCTCTCTTCTGGTCTCCCAGAGTCTTCTGGAAGGTCATGTTTTCAGGCCCCTCCCCTTCAGGTAACCAAGCAAGCCTCAGCTTTGATGTGGCCACCTCAAGGCGCTGCCGTCAATGGGCCCACTATCTGACCTGCAGGGCCACCAGGGGCCGCCGGTTGGCTGTAGTGGGTGCGGATGAGGCCTGGACACACAGTCCCACTGTGTGGGGCCGGTTCACACCCACCCAGACCCTGTGGGCAGTGGGGGGCTCCTAGGAACTCCTTTCCAGCCTGGGGGCGGGGTGAGACAGACAGGGTGGTTTGGGGAGATGATGTTTGCAGGGCGGCCTCAGGAGCCGCCATCAAAGAGCCCTGGTAGACGAGGCGCCATAATGGGCGGGGAAAGACAGATGGTCACTCATCTCCCGCCAGGGTCAGTGGAGGAGGAGGCCACAGGGTCATCTACTCAGGGTGACCAACCTCGATGGCAGCTTGTGACTGGGGGACCTTCCTGTTGCTAGCCACAACCTGAAGCTTAGGAAAGGACATAGTTCTCTCTCCTTCCTCCCTATCCAGTGACATCCAAATCAGGTGATTTAGGCTAGACATACCCGGAGCCATGTTGTCAGGCCCCTGCCATCAACAGGTACGCCCCGTGCCTGAGAGTCCAGTTCCCATTTCTCCCAGATGTCTGGGAGGTAAGGTCTGAGCGGCCCCGCTGACCCCAGCCTCTGCTAAGAGAACAGAGGCTAAACGTTCAAACGCCTGGCCTGTGCAGGGGGTCCTGTGTGCATGGCTGTCCCCAGGACCACCAGGGCATCTTCCTGCAATCCCGTCCTTGGGATCTTGAGATCTCCGGATCTCACTCTGTTATCTTCTCCTTGGTCACCTCCTTACCCTTTAAAACTTGGTACCGTCAACTCCACATTTCCCATCTTAGTCACACGTCACATCCCTGCCCAGGCTGTGCCCATCTCTTACTCTACCAGCGTTTGCTCCCAGGATGGAGACTCTCACCCCACCCTCTTGAACCAGCTCCCGGCAGGCGGCCAGCCTGTGACATGGGTAGAGCAGTGGCCCTAGCCCCAGGAGACTGGCGCTGCTACAGTCTCCTGCAGAAGGGGAAGTTGAGGCACAGGGAGGTGAAGAGACTTGCCTGTGTTAGGTAGGAACAGGCAGCACACAGGCATGCGTCCGAGTTTACCTCCAGAACCGGAGCCTGGCGAGCTTTTGTGGAATGGCTGACTTAGCAAGTCAAAGCTATCGCTGTACAGCGCACCCCTAAATCTGCATGCAGGTAGCACAGCCCAGTTCCTCAAATGCCCCCCAAAAGACCTCTCCCCCTCTGTCTTGGGGAGTGAGACTCTGCTGGTGAAGGAGCAATGTTGGGTGCTGCGGGGGAGGGGAGGGAGACCTGCTGGTTAGAGGCTCCTTGGTGCCAAGGAGGGCCTCAGGTAGACTTAGGGTGATGTTGCCAGCCCCCAACAGAGCTAAAGATGCCCTCTTGGGTCCTTCATCCTCTCCTTGGCCTTTGCTGCAGGGTGGGGTCCTTTCCTTGCCCCCTTTCCTCCCAGGAAAAGCCAGGGATATACTGGGCCCAGCGAAGGACCTGGTTCAAGGGAAGAACTGAGAAAGCATGAAGGGTGGGCTGGGCAGCTTCTGGAAGGTTCTACACAAGCCCTGACTGAGGAGGCCCAATTGTCTGTCCCCTGTTGCTTCCAGAGGCCCCAGATGTCTGTTGAGCACTGACGCCCAGGGGCAAGGCATGGAAACACAGATGCCAGTAAAAACATAGACGGAGCTATTCTCTTCTGGTCTATGGGGACTCCGAGTCGGCAGAGCATCAAGACAGTGCAGAGGACCCACCCTGGGTTGGGGCAGGGACAGACAGGGATTGGAGGCAGCCTGAGGAAGATCAACGCTAACAGACACGTTCCCTTTTACTAATGAAACAACGGCACTCAGAGATGTCAAGCGGCTTGCTTGGAGTCACACAGCACGTGGACATTGGAGGCAGGGAGCGGACTGGGCCTTCTGCAGCACCGCCCAAGTCAGCTTTCATGACTCTTCAGACCTAGACTCAACGCATGTTGATTCCACAGTCTGAGACGGGAATCTGGAACACGGCATTTTCAAGGGCTCTAGGAGAGTGGCTGAGGGTCTTGCTGAGGCAGTGAGGAGGGTCAGCATTTGGGGAGGGCAGGGCAGGGCAAATGGACACTGTAAGAGAACAAAGATAGGGTTGCCATCTGTGACTCCCACAGGTGGATCCCGAGGGTCAGAGTGTGAGAACACAGCAACTCTAGGGTTCTTGACCTGAGCAGAAATCCAGGGGGTCCATGAACCCGGCTGGAAATAATGAATTTTCCCTTCTGTTAGCAACCTTGAAACAAAATTTAGCATCTTTTTCCACCATGATGGTGTCACCAATGGAAACCACAAATTGTTTTCGATCTCAAGAAGGTGGTGGCAGATGACCCATCACAATCTGTCGTCAGCACTTGTCACCCAGAGTTCCGCTGGGTTTGAACGAACACGGAAAGCAGCTGTCACTCAATGTCTCCAGAGAGGTCCGAGGTCACAGTCCGCAAACGGGCCTTTATGTCTTGGAAACTGTTTTCCTTGCTCTGGGGCCCTCCCAAAGTCCTTTGGATTTTGTTTTATGTCTTTAATAGTGCGATTTGAGAAGTCACAGGCTTCCTGAGGGTCCAGGATGGTGTGTGGCTACAAGGGGACCTTGAGGCTGGAGCTGTGAGGGCTCTGGATTAAGGAGCTGAGCCCAAGCGGGCAGGTTTAAAGGAGAGAGATGAGACAAGGGCAGGGTATATTCCTCTTGGGGTCTCCGAGCTGCCCGGTGACCCCGATACCTTCCACCCTGCTGACCAGGGACCAGCCGCTGGGTCCAGTGACCTCTCTCCTTTCCCCATGTGTCGGGACAGAGCTGCTGCAGTCTGCTCTCTGTCCTCCCGCCTCCAACAGCCACATCTAGGGCTTTGTGTCAGGAGTTCATCTAAGGCAGCCGGCGCTAGCCCTGTCTTCTAAGGTTTCTTTGTTTTAAGCTCAACGTCTCCATCTTGCTCAGGGAGGGAGAAATACGGACTACAAAGATCTAGCAACTGGTTTTTATAAATTCTTATTTTCTTGCCCAGTGGCTGCCTTTAATTAACACCGAAGACTACAAAGGGTGCCTAGGACAACAGCGGTGGCGGCAAGGGACGGCACCCGGGGCCACCATTTATCACCAGCCACAGTTTGGAGGGAGCGTCCCTTCTCCCGTGGGTCAATCACCATCTGAGCACACAGCCTGCCTTGGCCTCCCCAGGTCACCAGGAAAGAGATACGCCGTACTCGTCGGCAAATTCTTATCACACAGACCCGCAAGTGTCCAGGTCCTCTGGAACCCAATGCTGTGGTCACAGCTAGCCGGAGCTGGGCAGGCAGACCTCTATGTCTCATTTGGCCACCTCGACTCAAAAAAGGCAACGTCTCCCAACCCTAGAATTCTAGAACATTCTGCCCCTCTTCAGCAGAGAAGCTAGTCCCTTAAGCAGCCCAGAAGTATTGCCCCACGCACAGCTCAGATAACAGAACGCCAAAGCTAGAGGGGACACCATCGGGAGCAGAGAGGTAAAGTGACCCATATCAGGTCACTCATCAAGGTTGGTACAGCCTGGGGCTGAAGTTCGGGGACCGCAGTCTCCTGGTCTCAGGTGCTACAGCCCCATAGGTTACTGCAAAGAAGCAGGAAAGTGGCCGAGGTGTGTGAAGCCAGGGTACCTCAAAGGCCAGAGGCAGGGCTTGTCTTCCCGGGATTCAGCCTAAGTCAGAGGCTCCACATCAGATACCCTGGCCCCTATCCTTGCTGAGGGACACACCCCAGAACTCTGGGTCCTTCTGGGCCATGAATAGAGACAGAAGGCACCCCCAAAACACCTTTGTTTGTGACCAAGCCTTTAGACCTTCCAGGGACAGGGTCCCCCACAGTATCCTCCAATGCTGAGCAGATTTTCGGAGAGGCCTGTGGCTCCTTTCTCCTCCCTCTGCCCTCACTGTTCAGAGTACACAGAGAATGCCGAGGACAGTCCTCAAGATCTGTGGATCCAGGCACAGCCCTGGCCCTGCTTGCCTCCCATGGCCCTCCTGGACACATCTGACCTTAGTCCATCTGAGCTCTGATCTGGGCAGACAGGCCCCAGTGCCCTGTGGGGGAGGCAGGAAGCAGAGGGCCACAGTTTCACCTTGTCCTCTCCATCCCAGGACCCTCTGAGGTCTAGCCTTTGAGGTCTATAGGGAGTCATTGCCCCTGTTGCACACTCCACCAGCGGAGAATCGAAGTCACACAGTGATGCTCATGCCAGGAGACCACGGAGGCCACCAATCACTCTCCCCACTTAGCTTCTCAGAAGCTAGCTTGTGGTGGCCAGAGCCGTGGGCTGGAGGGTCATGGTCTGAGGCCGTCACAACTCCCCACCCGGGAGAGCCAAGCAGAGTCCCACCGTTGGTACTCACCTCGTATGAAGGTCGGTGTATAGTTGGGGAAGGAGTCGAAGATGCTGTTGGAGGCCATACCCCACACTGACAGAGGCAAGGACGCGGCCTCGGGGGGTTGGGTTGGGGCCCGCTTGGTTGGCTGCTGTTTTGTTATATATATATTTTTTTCAAGCTGCTTTTGAAAATAAAAGGGGGAGGTGTTGCTTTTTCGTTTGTTTTTTTGGTTTGGTTTCTTTTTTTTCCTCCCCCTGCTGCTACGAAAAAGAAAAAGAAGAAAAAAAAGAAAGAAAAAAAAGGAAAGAACGCGAGAGTATCTGTGGGCGAGAGAGAAGAAAATCTCCAAGGAAAGAAAGTTTCGGTTTGTACCCAAGAATTTGGCTTCCCGGTCCCACAGGAATGTCTAGCCACAAATTTTCAACAGCACTATGTGCAGAGTATCATTAAATGGTGGGAAGGGGCCCTGGGCAGCCAGGGCGGAGGAGCCCGGGGCTGCAGCAGTGAGGCAAGGCTCAGCAGCGGGAATGAATGAATGAATGAACGAGGCTCACCCTCCACGGAGCCCAGGCTGTGGTGGGGGCCAGGACCGCCAGGGGGTGGGGACGCCAGGAGCCAACCAGCTCCTCGCAGGGCCCTGGAGGCGGTGAGGGCCTGGCCTTGTGGTTCTGTGGTTGAGGGACCAGGCCTTCCCAGTGTCAACCCAACCTCACATCACAGGATGCAAGAAGCCAGCTCGCGGCCTAGGCCCATTGGCTAGGCCACTGTCACCTGGGCTGTGATGTCACAGCCCCTTAGAAGATCTTGTGGCTACTGCCCCCCTCCCACTCCCCACTTCTTTGGAGGCTGAAAGGAAAAGAATAAAAAGAAAGAGAAAAGGTAGGGTTTCTGTTTGTGGGTCTGGCCTCATCAGACAACCCAGGAAACAGAGCTGGGAGCCACGGAGTAGGCAGCAGGCTGTGGCCTAGGAGACCCTTTCCTAATGAAGGGCAGTGGTACCCTGGCTGCTCTTCCCCAGGAGCCAAAGCTTGGTTCCACCAGAGGGTGGAGGACCCCTCACTATTACTGTCACTGCCCTGGGCTGTGGCTGACACCCTGCCATGTCCGTCACCACACTGCCAGGCAGAGGCGTCCACATATGTGGCTGGGTGGCACTTCAGGGGGTTTTATGGGAGTTGGGATTTATGTACAAATGGGAAACACATGAGGCGGCTGCTGCGGCCTGCCCACCAAGAAAGGCCTTGCTTGGGAAAGCTGTGGCATGGCTGTGCTGGGACCGCCCCTGCTCTCTGCTGCAGCCGCAGCCTGAACTCACGGGTCTGGAGCCTTTGCGATGCCCTTAAGGTGTTCCAGCCAGAGAGACTCTGAGCTTCCTGCCTCAGGGACTTTGCATCGGACAGGCCCTCTGTCCACCCTTTTTAACCTTTCCTCTGACAGGGCTCAGAAAGGTTCAAAAGGCAGGGACAATGTCCTGCTCTGTCCTCATCTTCTAAGTCTTCTAAGAAACGTGTCAGGTGTGGAGCATGGGAAGCGTGGCTTGTCCTGTTTGCCTCAAGAGCTCTTCCCTTGCAGTTCACAGGCCATGTCACAGAGGCCCAGGACCATGAATATACGTGCCAAAGATCTCACAGCCTTTTAGAATGGGATTAGAGCTTCCACCCTCAGCTCTCCTACCCAGGCCTCATTCGTGACACCCCAACAGCCTCAGCTGTCCTTGAAGCTCTCCAGACTTCAGACAGGGCACCATGCCAGCTCTCACCAGTGTCCAGGCCAGGGGCTAGGCCCCAGTACCAGCCCTGACTCAGGTCTAACATTAGGGAGGAGGGGAGTATTTAAGGCTGTGGACTTTTTTTTGCCTCTCAGCTACACTGGATTTTCTATCAGGAAGAAGCCCCTAAACATGTCCATTAGGTCCTTAGGTTCAGTCCTCTGCCCCACAGGCAAGGCTAGTACTGCCGCAGTTGGAGGGAATTTCAGCTGCAGCTGGTAGTGATGACTGAAGGGCTCTGGAGACACTTTTGGGTCTTGAAACTGCTAGACCCTGGGGCCTTCCACTTCCCTTCCCTGGGCCTCAGTTTGTACTCCTGTAAAATGGGGATGACACCTTGGTCGGAGGGACCTTGCTGGTTGAGGGCATGGCACACGCTGGTTTCCTTGGCGGAGTCTCCATGACGCAACAGGGCTCCATTATGAGTAAGCCAGACAGGGGACCAGCACAGCTGTGTGAGGACACTTCGCTCCCACCAGCACCGTGAATGTGTCAGCTGCCTGGCCTGGCCTGGCCTGGGCTGCTGGGGTCAGTGGTGGAGGTGGCGTCTCCCTGCCGGGACTTTGGAGCAGTTTGGAGCTGCAATGTGAAATAGAGCAGAAAATGATGCGGTAGGAAGACCGCTTTTTTTCTAGAAACGGAAACTGAGTCCCATCCCCCATCCCCCAGGTAGGCAGACTCATCCAAGCACCCTGAGTGAGTCAGTGGGACCCACTGCTCCGCTCCCAGCCAGAGGCTCTTTCCATCCTGCAACACCTCCCCCTCCGCTTTCTAACTTCTCACCCCACCTCGCTGGTTTTTCCACACCTACGAGTGCCCCCCTAAGCTCCTGTCACTTGCTCATCCTGAGGGGGCTCTCCCTTTCTAGAAACTGAGTCTAGGCCCAGGAACTGGAAGGAAGTCCAAGAGGAGGAGCACATCCTAAGCCTGGATACTGAGCGGGTATTCTCAACAGTACCTGGGGAATGCCAGGCAGGGTCCTCATCCTCCTTTCCCCCTGAGAGACTTCTAATTTCCACATGCAGGCTGCCTTGGGCATGGGGGTGGGGGGATGCAGTGGCTAGAACCAGCCGTACCTGAAGCCTGCCTTTGGTTCGAAGTTGCTGTGAGATTGTGCGGGCTTTTCTCTCCTAAGCCTGTTTTCCTGGACTCCGAGGCCAATTGTACTTACCCCAGATCGTAAGAAGAGTCAGTGTGAAAATAACGAGGAATAGAGTTGACTCATTGTCGGAGCTGAGTTCCTAGCCCCTTTTCCTTCCTTCCTTCCTTCCTTCCTTCCTTCCTTCCTTCCTTCCTTCCTTCCTCCCTCCCTCCCTCCCTCCCTCCCTCCCTCCCTCCCTCCCTCCCTCCCTTCCTTCCTTCCTCCCTTCCTTTTTTCGATTGTGTGTATTTGTATGTAGGTCTGTGTATAAGCTTGTGTGCACTCTGTGTGTGTATGTGTGTGTGCACTCGTGGGCATGCAGAGGACAGAGGTTACCTCAGGTGCTCTTTCTCTGGGCCGGGAGTGCATCAAGTAATCGAGACTGGCTGGCTAGTGGGCCCCAGGGACCTCCTGTCTGCGCTGCCCAGCACCAGGATTGTAGACGAGTGCCCCTACATCCAGCTTTTTCTTTTCTTTTCTTTTTTTTTTTGGTCAAGTGCTGGGATTAAAGGCGTGCGCCACCACCGCCCGGCCAGCTCTTTATTTTCTTAACATGGGTTCTAGGAATTGAATTCAGGCCCTGATTCTCTCGTGGCAAACGCTACCAACTAAGCCACCTCTGATGGTCATTCTCCTGGCCCGCACGGCACAACCTGGTCTTCTCTTACAGTTTGCTAAACATGACTAGAGGAGTTCAATAATAAAAATAAAGAGAACCATAAAAACGTTATCTACAAATAAAAGGCAATTATAAAATAGTATCTTAAAGCCTTTAATTTTATCGGGTTATTTACTTATTTTTGTTTTGATTTGTATTGTCTAGTTTTGTTTTTGAGACAAAAGTTTCACTCACTGGTTCAGGCTGGTCTTCAATTTATAACTCTCCTGCTTCAGCCTCCTGAATAATGGGGATTCCAGGCCTATGCCACCAGGCCAAGGTTCATTTTTTTTTCTTAGCAGCTTGCCTTCACCTAGTCTTTTGAAAGTTTCTGCCTGATCTTCCTAAAATCAGAGTCCAGTGTTAGGCATCAGACCACCGGGGCTCACGGCACCCCTTCGAGTCCAGTCCAGGGAAAGAGGAGGATGGGAAGGGAGCAGGAGAGGGCCGTCCCCTGGATATACAGGAGAAGAGCCAGGCAGGTGACATTGTGGGTGTGAGGACGACACTCAGGGGAGGCGGTAATGACAGACCATTCTCTGGGCAGCAGTACTCTGGTGGACTCAGGGCTGACTGGGAGAAATGATGGGGAGAGCACACAGACAGCCATGATGGCATGACTCAGCCACTCTGGAGATGTCTCTTGTGGCAATGCTTGGCCTGAGGACCAGGTGGAGCGGGACCTGCAGCTCAGCCGGTGATGCTGTGTCACCACGGTGTCGGATACACCCGCCTCACACTCGGTGATGGCTGGGAGTGAGGGCGGTAACGTGGGAGCACAGGTGCATCCCAGCAGCAGGGTACCTGAGACTGGAAATGAAACCGGTCCTTAACCACGCGCGAGCAGAGCTGGGACCATGACCTTGACCCTGGGCTACTGTGACTAGGGAATGCTGTCACTCAGGAGCTTTGGCAGCAATTCCCAAAGGCAGCCCCTCCCTGAGCTCTTGGCTGCTCCCCACCCCCCAGGCCCACAGCATCTGGCCTCACTTTCAGGCCGAAAAAGAGGAATCAGAAACCAAAGCCATGTCTTGGCCTCCTGTCCTTTACACAGCAGCTGGAGCCAGACAGCCATGGATTTGGGCTGAGCCTTGAACTTGAGTTCAGATTCTTTTGCCACAGAAAGCCATGTGCAAGGGAAGAAGGGGCTGAGTGATGTTTCATATCAAGATGGCCAGGGGGCTCTGCTCCAGGAGGTCTGCAGGGAGATGCGAAGCTTCTAGTGTCCAGGGCAGATCCTTGTCTTCTCCCGAGGTGGCTGGTGGGGTCCCTTACAGCGTGCAGCCCTCCCGGGGACCAGGGTAGCCAGGCCCAGCTGAGAGACAGGGAGTTGAGGACCCTGTGCAGTGTGGGGTGCGTATCTAGAGATTTTCTCATAGGATCTCTGAGAGGGACTCTGAGGACACCTCCCCTCCACCGCCAAGAGGCTTTCTTGTCATTTGTCCTTACTACTGCTTTCCAGGGAGCGTGAAAGGTGAAGAGCAATGTCAAAGGTCACCCATCTTGCAGGTGAAA